AAAAAAAAAAAAAAAAAAAAAAAAAAGATCTGCTTTTTTTTTGCTGCGCATATTTCATATCCAACAGCTTGGTTTCCTTGAAAATCCTTTTAGTTTTTGATTTGAAAATTCCAAAAAAGGGTTTGAGGCGACAAAAAAAACAAAGAAATTGGTCAGGTGATGAAATTTCTAGTAAATATTCTTGAGAAAACGTCAATTAATCCTAATATACGTGTTATATCTTACAAATGTGTTACTTTAATGCTTCTATAAATTTAAAATTGTTTAAGGCATTTTTTTTTTCAAATAAACAATATATATTTTTTATTTTATTTTTATTTTTATTTCTTTTCTGCATGTAAAAGATATTAATAAAGTTTTCGTTTATTATTTATATAGGTTATATATAATTACATATCTATAATTATTAATATATATATATATAAGTTTTTATAATTTTATCTTTCATCATATTTTACAATTTAAATTATAAAAAAAGATGAAATTTTATAATTTTTATCATATTTATTAAAGAATTAATTATAAATATAACCTTTAAGTAATATTAAAATTTAATTTTATAATGTTTAATTTTTTGTTATCTCTTTAACAAATCACAAAATAATTTTATATTGTATTTCATTTGTATTTAGGTTATTTTAGGTTTATAATTTAATAAAATCCAATTATTTTAATATATTTGGATATTAAAACAAGAGAAATATCATTTATTTCATAATAAAAACATTCCTTATTTCACTTTAGAACTAAAAACAAGTGTTTTTTCTTGTTATTTAATATATTACAAGGTTATTATCATTATACGCCAATTATATGTTAATATTTTCATCATAATAGAATGAGCTATAACTTCTCTTTGAGGTAGACTGTAGACGATGTTAATTCCAAATATTATTTACTTATGCTAATACTTAGTAATAGAAGTGATTTGGCGGTGAATTAAAGCCTATAATACAATTTGAGGAATCAGGAACCTAAAAATAAATGTATATTAAGGTTTCATATGATTTATACTTTTCAAAATTTTCTGTTTATATAATATTTATTATTAATTAGTACTAATTTATAATCAATTCAAACATTTTATAGATTTCTATTTTTCACGAATTCTTTTATTTTCAATTTTTTTCTTCCCTACTATTTCACAATAATTTAATATAAAAAGTGTAGCATGTCCGTGCAGGGAAGTAATTTTGAATGAAGCTGCTCTTTGAACGATTAGTGACATCAGTAATGACGATTTTTCTGCTCAAAATTCGAGTTCATAATCATAATTTTGGGTTACAGTATACCAGAGCTTTACTCAAACTTTAGATTATCAAAACAGGATTGGTGCAGTAAAAGCATGGCCTGTCTCTTATTCATATAAATAAATTTGTATGAAAAAACAAATAATAATAAACGAATGAATGTATAAACGAAAATAAATTTGGTGCATATTTATACTCGGGTACAACCTAGAGGTCTTTAACCAATCTAAAAACGCTATTACTGTAAAATCTCATAAAATTATTGTTTTCCTGAGGAAATTCACAAAATTCTATAAAAATAATTACCTTATTCTGATCCCATAAAAGTAGGGACCTGTCATCTTCTGAATTTCTTGCAATTGGGGAGGTCCCCTCTTTATTTGATTAGAAGAATAACATTTAAATGTTATGGAAATAACAGCGAACATCCATACATTTAAACGAACAGATGTTGTTGCCGTCATATTATTATTGTTTAGTGGCGTTAATTGAATAATTGTGCAATTTTGCGCACAAAATTGTTTTTTATTATACGTGGCACGAAGCCACATCAGATCATTACTTCATATAAAGTCTAATACAAAATTTGTTTTATATGTATATTATATATGTATGTTTTTTATACGTTAGACGAATAAATTACTATAAAATATATATTATATGTAAATATTCGTTGTTGCAATTAGGTTTACATGTTTGATATTTAAGATATTTAAGAACTTTATAAGTAATTTAAATAATCTAAATAATTTAAATAATTTGAGTAATTTAAATAATCTAAAGAATTTAAATAATCTAAGCAATTTAAAGAATTTAAAGAATTTAAATAATCTAAATAATTTAAATAATCTAAGCAATTTAAATAATTTAAGTAATCTAATTAATTTAAATAATTTAAATAATTTAAATAATATGTATATTTAACATTAAAACACAAAATGCTTCAATTGCTTCACTTGAGGAACGATTTTACCATTTTCAACTTATGAGACATATCAAAATTATTTATAAACCAATTAAATTCTTTATTTAATAGATCGTAAGTCATAATTTATTTATTTCTATTATTACTTATTGTTATACTTTTAGTTTAACCCAATTTTCGCTTTATTAAATTTTTGGTATCTTTAAACATACGTTTATTATATATATTATATATATATATATATGAACGGATAATAAAATTGAAATAAATATTATAGATTTTTTCTCCTGAATTAACTGAATTAACCAAGATTAATCTACTACTGTACTAACGAAACCGAAATTTTAATGTAATTTTTATTATTCGAACGAATTTAAACAATCCTTCCTTTGTAAGGTAAATCAGGTAAATCATGCGGTCGTATTTATTTATTTATTTGAACCTGTGTATTGTCGTGATCAATAACGCTAACCAAAAAAAAAAATTATTTCTAAAAAAGTTTTTAAAATAAATGTGGCTAAATGCAAAGCACAATATGTCACAAAATGCGTCATTACAATTTTTAATATATGACCAGAATGTTTTGACTTGTGTACTAATTGTAACATACAATACCGTAATTGTCTTATGCGTAATACAGCCGCAAACGGCAACTCAATCGTAGGGAAAAACTAAATCATATCTTTTTTATAAAATATGAATTTGAATCGAATTTTTAAACCGGTTATAATTTTTTTGAACTCGTTTTCAAAACTGTGCTACCATACAAATAAATTACAGGACATTTACAGGTCAAAGTTCAAGATTACGAGATAATTACAGGACAATCGGAGATTGCAGGGCGATTAGAAAATTATCGGTCCATTACTAGATTATTACTGGTAAATTACCCAATATATTTAAAGCCGTTTTCGGTATTAAGCGATGTTATTGTAACAAAATCAACAAAATCAACAAAATCTATATTTTAAAATTCTTAAAAATTACAAGGGTAATGATAATAAAATTTTTAATTGGTTCATCCTTTTTTTTATTTTTTTTTTCTAAAATCTTTTTTATCCATATAATTAGTTGTTACTATGATATTTTTAGTTTAGGGACGGAAAATTTTAATTTTGGCCAAATTTATACATTATCTTAATTTCAGCCAAAGTTTTCAAAGTTTAACCTTATTAATATTCGCTTCTAAATTGATCACGTTATCCCGCTTACAAATTATAAATGTATATCTTTTTCTGGAAAAATTCATTTATTTTTGCTGAATAATAAAATAAATAATTTAACGATGGAAGGAATATCAGTGAGGAGTTTGTATTTTAATGATTTTTTTTTCTAACCATTTCTGAAAAAAAAAACATGCACGAGAACTAATTATTTAAGTTTACTTAAAAAGAAATGATTTGCGACGTGTGATCGTTAAACGAGGATTACTTTTTACAGGTGGCAAAAATCCATTATATTGCAAACGAATGTTCTGACGAGTCGTTAGGTAGAATTGAATTGATTTAAATTGATTTCCTTTCGTTACTTTGAATTTATTAGCATAGGCTGTTTTAGTAAATGAGTCATCATACTTTGTGATTGAATACAAAAGCTTGGCACTTGGCAAGATTAGCGATTATTAAGGGGCTAAAATAGCATGATTTCATTATGAAGAAAATAGTATGATTTTATTATGAAGAAAATAATTTTATTTTAAAATTTATTTTTGTATGAAAAGAGAACGGGACAAACCTATAATTTATATATATATATATACAATGTTGAATTCATTATGAAGAAAGTAATTTATAATTTAAATATACATATATGAGACGAACGTATACTGTATATAATGTTACTGTGTAACTCATAAAAATTTTATTAAAACAATTTTTTATAATGAATAAATATTTTTCGTCAAATATTTTTAATTAATTCTACGACCTCTGGTAGTAGTAAAGACATTTGCAGTATTAGCAGTATTGGGAGCACCAGTATTTCTTCTTGGAAATAAAGTAAAATTTCTACTTTTAAAATTTCTATAAACTTGAATTGTAAGAATGATATGAAGGATTGTTTGTACAAACGCTAATAATATAAAGATAATAATAAGAATTCCAGGGATATATAAATAATATAATCGAACTTTAAAGATATTAAATAATCGAAGACCACTAAATATGAAACCAATACCAATCCCTAAACCAAATATAATGATAATTGCCTCTCCTATGAAATAATATCTAAAACTAGATTCGCTATTGTGTCTTAGTTAAAAAAAAAAAAAAAAAAA